GCATTGCAAGAAAATCTACAAAATAAAATAGTTATTTTTTGTAAACACTTCTGCGTTAAACCTAAACGGACACTGCTTAAAAAATAACTATTTTATTTTGTAGATTTTCTTGCAGTGCAGTGGCGAAATACCCATAAAGGATTTTTTTTGGAGAGATGAATCCGACACATTAGTATAGACATTTTTTAGAAATATTCATCTTAGACAAAAAATTGATTTAATAAAACTACTAATATTTTTCATTACGCTAGCAATATTTTACATTTAAATACTTACTTAAAAAATAAGACGCCATTCGTTGCTTTATGATACCTTTCCATAAATTTCTTTTCCTCTTACATACCACGTCCCACACAAATAACCGGTTATTTTCTCTCTTTACTTCCAGGCGCCCATCCTAATAATTCTTCCTTTATATGCATTTTAGCCGAAGCGCATCTTTGGAACTGGCCGAATTTCTTGAGCATACTAAAAAGTTTTCTACTTACTTCCAGACGGCTTTGGAAACGTCTTTCATCGTAATTTACGCCCAGTATTTTGTCTAAATTAACCTAATGTTCTGTAGGTGACCTCTTATGTTGTTTTATTGCATCTATCTGCCCCAAAGAGTTTGCTACCAATGGATTTTGTATTAAAAAATATGTAATCTGTAATCAGTTTTTCTACCAACTGTTTTATATTAGTTGATTGATTTTTTTATAATTCCTTACGAAACAATAAAATTAACTAATTTATTATTACATGTAATTATTCTTTAGCCTTTATGTAATAAGTTATTTTTACTTAAGTAGTTAAAAATACTTGTTTGTTAAAAACAAAAGGTTTTTGTTTTAACTGATCCTAGCCACAACACCCAAGAAACAACAAATAAAATTTATTATTACATTGAGATGACCCTCCTATTTAAAAATAGACATATTTATTTAAGGCTGTACTTAAACTGCCGTTAAACGGTAGCTTACTAAAATGCCGTTAATAGGTATGACGTCGTTGATGTGACGCACTTGACGGGCTTTATGAAATATAGGAATTTTATAAGAACTAACGCTATCCACCCTACCAAATAACCAACTTAACCAACGCAACTAACCTCGACACTGATATATAAAAATATAAAAAACAAATATAAAATAGTAAAAACCAACCAACCCCACCAAGTAACCAACTAACCAATGAATTAACACCCTCCAAATAACCACGCTAACCAACCCGTCAAATAACTAAACCAATCCAACCAAAAAGAGTGAAACCAATGCATAAGATCACGCTATAAGCAAAAAAAATATAAAAAAGTCTTGGTCGGCGTGAGATTTGAACCACGGACCATGCGCTCACGAAGCGATAGCCTCAGCCACGGAGTCACAGGTGCTCTTGCAAAATACTTATAGGCAGGCATTATTTTCCGCCGACGTGAACGACGTCACAATATCTATTAACGGCATTTTAGTAGGCTACCGTTTAACGGCTGTTTAAGTACATCATTTATTTAAATTCAAGACATTCAGTTTTAAGACACTCGTAAATAGAATTATTGATTTTTAAAAGATTATTCGCAAACTAGGGAGAGGGAAATCAGACGACGAAATAAACGAAGATAATAGTTGTTAAATAATAGCTTTTAGACTACCATTCGGGACACATTGATTAGCGATGGGAACTATCGAATGAATTAGACTATCGAATGGTTAATGAATGAATGATTTCGACTATCGAATGGTTTTATTCGAATAAAATCATTCATTCATTTGTATACTAAAGCATATGTGACAACCTCGCCGTGCGACTAAATGGTTATCGTTGAGCCGCGATTATCGAATGCTTTTGATAAATGAAATTTAGTATTCGTTTGATTTTTGTATGCGTCAGTGCATTATTAGTTCTTCCAAATTTTTATAACTTCGCCGTATAAATACTGTGCTATTTTTGCGTTTATTAAAATAGTTAAAATACTAAAATAATAGTTATTTTTTAATTTTATTTATTGACGATTGTGTGCATGTGCAGGTGGTCAAAATTTTTCTGAAAATTTGTGTGGTTTTCGGTAGTCCGATCTTTATTTAATTTTATATGGTATATGGTCTATTTTTTAATGGGAAATTTTGAGAAGTAGCAATTTTTAAGAGAGATGAGAGGAACTTACAATTAATTTTAAAAATACATATTTGTATTTTAGATGTTTTAATAATATGAATTAGTTAGAACTTAATAATCATATTTAAGTAATGTGGTTAAGTAAATGGTTATCGAACTCAAACTATGGGGTGAGAAAATTAAAATGAAAGTTTTACACGTGCCAATTTAAAAGAAAAGATTTTTGTATTTTGTTTATGCTAATTCTCTTACATGTAGTTTTTTATGAAGAAATATTTAATTTATTTTTAAAGTAAATGCCAGTAAAAAGTAAATATAATTTTAAATAGTAATATAAAGCACCTAATATAAATAATTTTGATTTCTAATTTTTTATTTATATTTTCCTTCCATTACACTGCATGCTTAGAAAATTAATAAATGTTTATATTTCATGATTTTAAAATTTGTTGTTAATATAACAAATTAGTTCTGTAATTATTATTATTTAATAAACCAACGTTGCCACACACAAAAAATTTAGAGACTATATTATTTTTAAATAGGATCTAATATAAATAATTTTGACATCTAATTTGTTGTTTATATTTTGCTACTACTTGAAAAAAAATATTTATATTAAATGATTTTAAATTTTGTTGTTAATAGGTATAACAAATTATTACTGTTATTATTATTTATTAAACCAGTCTTTGCTTAAAAACATTAAAAATAATTTTCCTACATCCAAAATAACAAGTATTATTGCAGTGTAACAACAGAATATTAATAAAAAAATGAAGAATATATAGACATACTATCCCTAACTAACTAAAGCCAAACAATAATATTCTTTGCTAATATCAACAAATACCAAAATATGGCAACAGCGCCCTTCATAATGTATTTTCTGTGTAAATACTAGCACCTCAATAAAAAAAATAATGTGTCCTTATCTATAACTGACTCCGCAAAAAATCAAAGATGCCGGCTTCTTTCATAGCATTGCCACCGACCGCTGTCGGGCTTCTCGGAAAGAAACCTACGTCGCCGGGCGACAACTAAAATTCAGTTAATATTTTATTATAATCGATCCTGACGAATAAATGAATTTCATAAATGAATGAATTTTATAAATGAATGGTTTTTGCTGCCGAATTACTAGAATACAATATTTCAAGGCAGATGATGGGATCTATTCGATAATTTTTATTCGAATAGTTTTCAACGAATGTTTTCTTACTAACTATCAAATTATTCGAATGAATTGCAACTATCGAATGTTTCGATAGTATTCATTCGATACTTCCCACCACTAATTGAGGTTATTTTGGTTAGCAAGTTTTGTGACAAAGAATGTTATTAAAGGTAAAGTAATGTTTTCTCATTATTTAACTAGCGTTAACTAAAACATACGCTTATTTGTCTGTTGTAATATTCTGTGTTAAAGATTTTCCTTATTTATTTCATCTGAGAATTCTATGATATAACATGTGTATGTATTTAATTGGATCGATTTAGCCTGTGGATAATTGCAGTTTAAAAGTAATCTACATACAATCGTTTACTGCCCATTTGTGTCGATGTTGGTGGTTCAATGTGAGAATGAAGGCCTTGTTGAATGTACGGAATGTACTAACACTTTTCGACCGTGAATGGGCGAATATCTAGCTCACATCAGAGCAAACAAAATCAATAAATAGAATAACTCTTAAAATAATTATATAATTATATAATACAATAATAATATATAATTATATAATATAACTTATAATCTAAGGATATTTGCACCGAACCGATTTTTTTTTCTTTCTAACTTTAGCTTCTAGTTCTGCAACTAGGGCATTAGTTTCTACGGGTGGGGACCCTAAACTAACAAAAACCTCTTATGTTTAAAATGTAATAAATGTGGCATATTTTGAATGTATGAAACTACCAACTTTGGTATGAGTACAGCTTTTGTATTATTATTATTTCTCTTTTATTAAAGTTAAGAACTGCATAGTTGAATTCTTTGGAATAATGACCAAGATTTTTTATTTCTCTGACATGTTCTTTTACTTGTGAATTCCAGGCAGAGTACGGAATTTCTTTCATTTCATAATAAAATAAGTAGGGCTATTTACAAATGTAGCGTTTCATTTACATAATCTATTCTTCTCAAATTTCCCTAAATATTGTTTCTGTCGGGCGCATCTGAAGTAAACCATAATAAAAATATGTTTAATACAACGTAGGTTCCTTTACTTCATTTAAATTGTTTGTTATACGGTTGGAAAATACTACCTCTTCAACTTTGTTGAACGACCCTGGGTTTTTATATTAAAACATTATTGTTAAAATGAGTTATTTTATAATAATGAAAATAAATGGCATTTGTTGTCATTATTTTTGGCGGACACTTACATATGGTTTTTTATTCTGTTTCTTTCACGATTCAAGTTTCAACATTGGGATCATTTCAATATTGAGATAAGATGTCAGTTAAATTGAGGTTATATATCAAAGTATAGTGCAATCTGATGCTGATGAAAATGTCACCTTCAAAGTTTAAAAACTCCGAATACTTCCGAAAGTTTTTGGAATAAAACGAATATTCTACATACAATTAGATTTTACATTCTCATTGCTACTTTTTTGTTCTAAAAGATGGTGTTATCAGATTTTCACATCGATGTTTGCATTTCCATCATGAATTTTCTTTTTTTAAATACACATCTAGATTTTTGTAACTGAGAATAACTAAGTTAAATAATAATACGTTTTTAAAACACTGGTTTTGGAACTTTAGAAGCTTTTAAGTAGCTCTTAAAATCTATAGTAAGATATCCAGTGGCGTATTAAAAAAAAGAAAGTTGATGTGAACTTTACATATTACAGGACTTATATAAAGTGTTTTAACTGATTCATATCTTTTTTTTCAGATTTTTCATTATCCGTTAATGTCCATTTCGAGAACAAAGATGGTGGATTTTTTCTCAAACAACAACCTAGACAACACTACGCCGGATCCTCCAGCAATCCATTGGTGGGCCTGGATCCGTTGGTACCGCTGCCAGGTGGACCAGGTGGTAGTTCCGGAGGAACGCCTCTTTCGATAGACCGGTTTACTGTGCTACAGAGTAGTCAGCCGATCTCTGTGAGGGCTACTTATGGACCGTTCAGTACAAAACAAACTGTACCTGCCAGATATGTGGTACCGGATCCAATGCCTGTGAATACTTCTGGTAAGTACGGTTGCATATCTTCTTTGGTTATAAATTTAAAAGCTTAATCAAAATATATTATAACAATGGAGTGTGTCGTCAATAAAGTTCTCTGACTGGGTTTGCATAAGAAGTTTGTAGAAGATTAGGTACACAACATCTAGATTGAAGATGAATCCTGATGATAGATAACTCAATATCACTGTGGGGCGATCTTGTCAACGACACATCAATTGCATGACTATACGGCTTTTACAACCAAGACTATTGCCACTGCTTTTTTGGCTGCAACATAATCAAGTTTTTTTTTAAACAACTTGGAAATAGTTTTAAACGGCGCCGACGCACAGTGCTTCGAACATATGGCTCTAGAGGACAAAAATCCAAAACTTCTCTTTTATTGTAGGCAATTTATTCAAACTAGGTTTATTTGACAAAAATGATGAGTACTCTCATTGTACTAAATGATGATGTTCTTAGTCCCACGTTTATGAAAAAAAAATCTTATAAATAATAAAAATGTTGGAGCTGTGTTCCATCTAAGCAAATAATAATTTATAGTATGAAAACGGTGTAAGTATTAAATAAATCCTTGTGATAAAAAAGAATTGAAATAACATTAGAACATGATTCCTACAATATAAGCCTAATATAAGATAAAAATATTTTTCTTTAATGAAAAAGAAACATTAATGTTATATTTAATTTTAAAAAAATTTAAGATACTATAAATTTACTTTAGGACAACAAAATGCATAGATCGTAGCTACTCTGATTCAGAAGAATCACTGCTGACAGAATCTTCCAAATTTATAGTATCCAAATCACAGGTAGATGAAGTATCCTCACATATAAGATATTTCTGTACATCATTTTCTAATATGTTACTTTTTCGCGTTGTTACTGTTCTTTTTGTTGGTATGAGGGGTTCGGATGTTAATAGTTACCTTTTTAATAGACCATATCCATATATTATTTGGGTATGAGGTTTTATAATAAATTGAAAGATGGAAACTTTTTTTATGCGACGTTTCGCTCCAACATAGTGGACTTTTTCAGGCACAAGTGGTGTCTCATTTGACTGGAAGGTTCATCAATATCTAGTAGAGAACACATTTTTTGAAATACAAATAATGTTGAGTTCTTGTCCTTATGATCAAGCCAAGTATTAACCAGATCGGCATTGCTTATCAATTTTACTCCATCTGAAAAGTATTATAAAATAAAGTTCGTCGCAAGCAGACGCAGGTGAACTATACAAAAATTAAAAGTGTATGATTATGACAACAAAAATATTCAATAAATACGATATGTTTTGATATGTTTTTTTTATATGCCTTTTTGAAAGCGTAAAATTTTTATACCCATTTAAGAATCATCTTAAAAAATAAATAAAATCTAAACAATCACGAACTTGTTTAGAAATAAATTTAAAGTACATACCTTGTGTTTAACAATATCCATAGTGGCTTTCAATTAAGTACGTACCGTTTAACTCCATAATATTGTTACGTTTTTCGTCGGTTCCGTGTGGATAGAAAGTCACAATTTATTTAAACACTATTTATTTAACACTAATTAACAAAACTAATAACGATAAACGACTTATAGAACTATTTACAAACGATTTATAACTAAGAATTTATTTTGAATTTTAGCGCGTCGACTGTATATTTATAACTGCCCCCTGTAGGCCACGGCCGCCGGCTTTTATACCGGCAGGTAAAGAACTCTAGAATTGTCCATAGATCGTTAGGTGCGTAGAGAAGGTTTTCGAATGTTCTCGTATGTACTCGTCCATTCCAGTGGGACTCGATTCTTCTCGAACGAATGAATCATTGCGGTGTCTATGCGATGTTAAGGTCATCCGAGGGCGGGCCATATTGTGAGGTTAGGTCGAGTCCACACCGGCCCGCAACACTGCCCCCTTCTTAGGTACATGCTCGTCCCGAGATGTATACGGTGAATGAAGGTATTTGCAAAGCTGGCCCCTGGTACATTGCGAAGTCTGGTAGAAATAGCAGTCTACAGTTTTCTCTCCCGATCTCAGCTTTGGGTTGTAGCAGCAAACGAGGATCTCGATTCCCGTAAATCTGAACAAGACTTCAATCATGTTCCGGATTGTACGCCAACTCAAACCATCGAGTCCACACGCCAGCTTCGGAATGGCTAATCGTGCAATGTTGTTGTTTAGCAGGGCTTCTCTCAGTTCAATCAGGGTCTTCCATAGATTGAGATAAGTCGGCTTACTCGGGGACCATTCCTTGGTGACCAGGTAGAAGATGTGCCTTGCTTGACCATGTGCATTGTCGGTTAGCCTCAAGACGCTTCCAACCTCTGGATCCTGTCGGCGTAGTTCTCCGACACGCCCAAACTTCTCATTGAACGTCGCAGCGATTCCTCTGGACATCCGCAAATCTCGAGCCACACAATGAGCGAGCGAATAATCAGGAGGCACGGAAAAGAGGTCTCGTTGATCTTCTTTGGTTACACCATAGCGAGCCTTCTCACTGCTGTTGTATCGGGCCATGAAATCGTCAAAGGACATCTCCGAATCAGGGGGATCAAAGCTGCAGGTTCTCACGGTCCCAGCACGATCTTCTATTTCGCCTTGGTAGGGGCTCAAACGGTTGAAATGGACTACCCTCGGTTTTCCTTTTGGCAATTTTCTGATACGGTATACGACGTCATTAATTCTATCCATGACTTCGTATGGCCCTTCCCACGAGGATTGTAGCTTCGGAGATAACCCACGACGTCTCTGCGGGTTATATAGCCACACCAACTTCCCTGGTTGGTATCCTCCATGCTCAGCTTGAATGTCGTAGTGTTCCTTCATTCGGTCACTAGCACTTTGAATATTTAGGCGGACTCTCTGATGAATGTCGTCCATCCTTTGACGTAGTGTGTGGACATAATCTTCTCCGGCGACTTCTTCTCCCGGTCGGCAACCAAATTTCAGATCACAGGGTAGGCGCACTTCCCGTCCCATAACGATGCTGGCTGGAGTTTGCCCTGTAGATTCTTGGACGGATGAACGGTAGGCCAACAGGAACAGGTGAAGAAATTTGTCCCAGTCTCTTTGGTGGTCAGAGACTACTTTGGCCAGATAACGGTTGATAGTTCTGTTCATGCGTTCAACCATCCCATCGGATTGTGGATGTAGAGCAGTCGTCCTGGTCTTGCGGATGTTCAGGACTTCACAGACGCCTTGGAACAGATTGGACTCAAAGTTTCTTCCCTGATCTGAATGAAGCTCCATGGGAACACCAAACCTGCAGATCCATTCTTTAACAAGGGCATCAGCAATCGTGGACGCTTCTTGATTTGGCAACGCGTAGGCCTCGACCCATTTGCTGAAGTAATCCATTACTACCACAATGTATTTGTTGCCATCGTTCGTCTCCGGGAAAGGACCAGCCACGTCGATCGCTATTCGTTCGAAGGGACTACCAACATTGTACTGGCGCATAGGGGCTTTACCACGCTTTTGTGGCCCATTAATGGCTGCGCAAATGTCACATTTCTTACACCAGGCCCTCACATCTTCTTTGCAGTTCACCCAGTAGAACCGTTCACGCAGCTTGCCAAGTGTCTTGGTAACACCAAGATGTCTCCGCTGGTTCCATTGTGAACTTCCTCCAAGACTTCTGGGACCCTCTTCTTTGGAATGACGATCTGCCTTCTCTCTTCTTGTCCCTCCGGTCTCTCGATCACACGGCGAAGTAGTCCGTTATCTATTACCAAGGAATTCCACTGGGCCCAGTACGACTTTACGTTCGGCGAATATCTGCAAACTTCTTCCCACGTTGGTCTTTGGCCTGTGTTTTTCCAGTTAATTACTAAACCTAATTCTGGGTCACTGGTTTGGTCATTTGCAAGATCTTCGGGTTGCCAACTATCATTAACCACAGTTGTTCTTAGGAGTTTCACTTCTTTCTCTTCTGCTCGGGAACAATGCTTACAGTCCTTAGCGCAAGGTCTTCTGGAAAGTGCGTCGGCATTTCGATGGATTGCCCCAGCTCGATGTTCTGTGTCGAAGTCAAATTCTTGTAATCGTTCAATCCATCTAGCTACCTGCCCTTCAGGATTCTTAAACTGCAACAGCCATTTCAAAGCAGCATGGTCTGTTCTTAACAAGAACTTTCTTCCATAGAGATACTTGTAGAAGTGTTCCACTGCTTTAACTACTGCTAGTAATTCTCGTCTGGTTACACAGTAGTTCCTTTCCGGTTTTGACAAGGTCTTACTAAAATAACCAATGACTTTTTCTTGACCATCCTGGATCTGAGACAGAACAGCGCCTAGCAACATTGCTAGCGTCGGTATCCAATATAAAGTTTCCGTTGCCAAGAGGGTAGCTAAGTATGGGCGCACTAGTCAGGGCCTTCTTCAATTTTCGGAATGCCTCGTCAGAATCTGAGTCCCAAGAGAAACGCCTCTCGCCTTCGGTAAGTCTGGTCAATGGTTTTGCGATGGTGGCAAAACCCTGTACATAGCGGCGATAGTATGTGCATAGTCCCAAAAAGCTTCGTAGTTCATGTTTATCTTTAGGTATCGGCCACTCTTCCACTGTCTTGGTCTTCTGTGGATCTACCGCAACTCCTTGGGAGGAGACTACATGGCCCAAGTAGTGTACCTTTTCTTGACACAGATGACATTTCTTGGGGCTAAGTTTCAAACCAGAGCTCCCTAGTCGCTTGAAAACTTCTTCCAAATTCTTCAGATGATCGTCAAAGGATTTCCCAACCACTATGATGTCATCCAGGTACACTAAACAGGTAGTCCAGGATAGTCCCTTTAACACAGACTCCATTAGTCTCTCAAAGGTAGCTGGCGCGTTGCACAATCCAAAAGGCATGACGGTAAATTGCCACAGTCCGGAGCCCACCGAGAACGCTGTCTTCTCTCTGTCTTTCGGCGCCATGTCGACTTGCCAATATCCACTCTTCAGATCTAACGTAGAGAATATCGTTGACCCCGCCAATGTGTCTAGAGTATCGTCTATCCTCGGCAGGGGATAGCTATCCTTCTTGGTAACATTATTGAGCTGCCGATAATCAACACAGAACCTGGTGGTACCGTCTTTCTTCTTTACTAGTACTACCGGCGATGTCCACGGGCTGTTAGATGGTTCGATGACACCCTCTTCTTTCATTTCTCGAAGGATTTTGTCAGCTTCTTCACGTTTGGCGAGCGGAAGTCTTCTCGGATTTTGTTTGATTGGTCGTGCATCTCCGGTGTCAATTTTATGTTGTACTAAATTGGTACGACCTCTATCTCCTGCTTCTCCTTTATCAAACACGTCTTGATACTTGATTATTAGGTTTCTCAATTTTCTACTATTTTCGGGAGATAATCCTTTAACGTTTACTAACTCCTTCACCATTTTGTCCGGAATTTTTGAAGTCGAAACTTTGGAGGCTTCCACGCTTCGAATGACTGAGGAGCCGAACAACAGTACCCTAAAAGGGTTCCCTTCTTCAAGGATACAGAATAATAATTTGTGTTCATTACTCTCGCCGGTACAGTTTTCTTCGCTCGTAGCAGGGCTTTTCCAACAGCGATCCCCCGTCCTATTTCGCTGTCATGGTTCCTTGGCTCCAACAGAATAATACTCCCATTATTCATTTTATCTTCCAGGCAACCATCCAAAAATATCTCACAGCGCTCAGGGATCGAAACATCTTCTGCTACCACCACGCGAAGCGTCTCCTCACATTTTCGATGTAGAACCACTTCTTCTTCATTTATTTTCAAAATTCCCTGTTTGAAGTTTAGTTCAAAACCTCTAGTGGCCATGATGTCCATTCCGAGAATAAGTTCATCTTCGATATCTGCTACTACCACTGGATGTTCAAAACTGGTGCTCCCAATAACAAAATTAAGGTTTACTTCTCCATGGACAGCAGCAGAGCCCCCCGTAGCAGTACGTAGTCGCCATTGTGTTGTTTTAACCTTCTTCGATGTTTTAAGAATGTCCGGTCTGATAATAGTTTTCGTCGCTCCTGTATCCAACAGCATAGTCCGGAACTCTCCATCAACAAAACCATCCACAAACATGCTGTTGAATTTGTGTTGTAGCGAGGCGACTCGAGCAGTTTTCGTTGGGGCATGTTGGGTACAGGTCGACGTGTGCCCCTTCATTTCGACCCTTAGTAGTTTTCCGACCTCGACGAAGCCGGTTCTTCGTTCTTCTCCTTACAACGGCTTCGCACGTGTCCTACCTGTCCGCAGTTCCAGCAATGAATCAGTCCCTTCTTGCCCATGTACTGGTCCATTACTTTCCGAACAATCCCTTCCACGGATTCGTCGGAACATTCGTCGATGGCCCGTACTCTTCCTAAAGACCGAGAACTTTGTTTCGCGGCCTCGAATTCTAGGGCACGTGCTAAGCATCCACCAAGTGCGTTGGGTGGGCTAGGAGAAGTGCTTGTCTTGTCTCGTTATCACGTAAGCCGTCGGAGAATGCCTGTACTGCCAACCGCTCCATAACATTCTCTGGCGTAGCAGGGTACGCAAGGCGAACGAGGCGGGCTACGTCGGCTTCAAACTCCTGCAGAGACTCATTTGACTTTTGAATGCGATTTTTTAGCTGGGAATGATAGACATGTTCCAAATGAGCTTGGCCGTACCTCATTTCTAAATGTCGTACCAATTGCTGATAATCTCCCTGTTCCGATGGTGACAATGTCTGCAGAATATCAGTCGCATCTCCTCGCAGTGCGACAGTCAAAGCGGTAGCCTTTTCAGCGATTGTCCATCCGTTCGCTCTCGCAGCGGCCTCAAACTGGCAAAAATAATTGGCCCAAGCGGTTTTCCGTCAAACTGTGGAGGCTTAATAACTGACTTTGAGATATACTTATTTTCGACTAGTTTCGGTGCCTCCGATGTTTCTTGACATTTTGGTGAATTGGCCTTTTCTATTTCTTGTTTTAAAATTTCGATTTTTTTATTTACATCGTCCTCAATTTGTGTTATTTTGTCTTGTAGTTCCGTAGAATTCTCTATAATTTCTGTTATCTTTTCTTCTAAATTAATTATTTTATTATTAAAGCTGGCCTGTATGTCTTTAGAATTTTCTGCGATCTTATCTTCTAAAATATTAATTTTATCACTGATTTTCTCTTCTAAATTAACTTCCAAGTCAATTATTTTACTATTGAAATTGTCGTTTAAATTGTCTTGCAATTCCGGGAACTTTTCGTAATTTTATCTTCTAATTTTTGTAAGGACGAGTCAAGGTCACCTTCGAACTCAAAGCAAAATGTGTCCGGATCCTCGCCTTCCTCCCTCAAAACGTCTCTCAGTCTGGTTTGCAAAATGCTTTTCTTTCCATCTGTCTCGCACTCTCTCTCTTCCAATATGGATTTCAGTTCGGACACTTTCAAGTCTTTCAACAATTTCTTCGGAGCCATTGTTAGTCTTTTTATTTTTCTAGTCTATCACACACGCCACACTTGACACCAATTGTTACGTTTTTCGTCGGTTCCGTGTGGATAGAAAGTCACAATTTATTTAAACACTATTTATTTAACACTAATTAACAAAACTAATAACGATAAACGACTTATAGAACTATTTACAAACGATTTATAACTAAGAATTTATTTTGAATTTTAGCGCGTCGACTGTATATTTATAACTGCCCCCTGTAGTCACGGCCGCCGGCTTTTATACCGGCAGGTAAAGAACTCTAGAATTGTCCATAGATCGTTAGGTGCGTAGAGAAGGTTTTCGAATGTTCTCGTATGTACTCGTCCATTCCAGTGGGACTCGATTCTTCTCGAACGAATGAATCATTGCGGTGTCTATGCGATGTTAAGGTCATCCGAGGGCGGGCCATATTGTGAGGTTAGGTCGAGTCCACACCGGCCCGCAACAATATATAGAACTACTGTGAATGTTATTATTTTCACTGATAAGATAATGATCGCAAAATTTATTTTTAGTGAAAATATTTGCTAACGAAAAACGCTGTTTATGAAAAATAATATACAGGATGGTTGAACATTGCTATAAGTATAAAATTACATATCCAGATATTAGTAAATTTTAACTTATTTTTCGATTTTTGTCCATGGGACGAAGCACTGTGCGACGCGACGCAGAAAAGAGAAAGGGGGCGGAAAAAATTAAATAAAATGACAAAGGGGTATAATATCGACGTATACAGGGTTTTTAAAAAACATGTGCCATCCCTCGTGGGGAGATTCCTCACGTAAAAATAAGAATTATTCTTCATATCAACATAGGTCCGATTCTGATTTCTTTTGTAGCTACAGGGTGTTAAAGTCTTAATAATTTTTCGATTTATTATAATTCTTTTTCCAAGTACTTTTAGTGATTCGAATGTAATTGAGAGGATAAAAGTTACTATAAGTGCTACATATTTTAGTGCTAAAAGTGTCGATAAATTTATCAGGGACGTGCATATGGGTTATCACAGGAATATTTTTCAAGAAAAACATGTGCGCCACTGAATTTTTTTCTTTTTATATCAGAATTGTGTAGGCCGTTTAATGCCAATTAAAAGTTATCTCTCGATATTTTGTCGAATTCGGTCTTCTTTATGAGATAAACACACTTGTATTAATCACAATTAATAAAATTAAAATTAAAATAAAATGCATACATTATATGTATATTTTATCTAATTTATTATTGAATATTATTACTATTAATTATTATTACTATTATTCAAACCTACAGCAATTTCAAATAAAAAATAATCGTATTGAAGATAATTACAAAAACCCTAATTTTAAAAATTTGTAACATCCTGTAATTCTAAAATTATGCATTTTCCATATCCATGTTTATTTTTTCATATTTTTAGTACTTATTTAAAACTCTCGCAAGTTAATGACATTAATTTGTTTTAAAGGTTGCTTATTAAAGACTTATTAGATCTAAGCAAATTAATAAAATTGCTTTTATCACATCAAGGAGGCCGAAATTGACAAAATATCAAGAGAAAACTTTTAATCGGCATTAAGCTGCTTACACTATTTCACTTATAAGAAACATATTTTTTCTTTGTCGTTTTTCAAATAAGTCTAAAATAACCGAGATACTTTACTTTTAAATTTAAAAAATCATATTTTATGCTTTAATTTTGAGAACCACTGGATCTTTTCTGGATTTCTACCAACCAAACCAAATTTACTACCTAATGTTGCTATATTATCAAGATATTATGTTTTTTAACTAAAAATTAATAAAATGCATATAATATTTTCAAAAACTGCAATTTTCAATTTTTTTTACGAAAAAACCGCATAGGCCGTGTTTCTGTCCAATTGTACTACCCTAAAATATTTGCACTTACTTAAGACTCACCCTGTATAATGTTAAATCGGAGGATTTCTGTTAAAAATATCGCGCTGTTTGTTTTTCTAACATTGTATCTATGTCACATTCAAATGATTTCTGTGAAAGAATGTTCGCATAATGAATAAGAATAATAATAAATCGTCTTTATGTTCTAAAAGAGATAGTTAAATAGTTGATGTAGTTAGTTTAATGAGTTATTTTATATGAGCAAAATCAAGGAATTTGTTGATTATATACCTATACTATTAATAAGTTTTTTTTAGCAAAATAAGGAATAGGAATTTTTTCTAATCCTTCTCACAAATTTAAACCAGTAACTTCATGAAAAAAATTGTATAATATGTAATGCTAATATTATATAATAAGAATGAACCCTGATAAATATATTAATGCAAAATTCTGTTTTTTCTGTTTTTAGATGATGATTTTTTAAAATTTTTAATAATATATTTATATTAGAAAGGGATAATATTCCCCCTTCCTTTTGCGAAACGTTTCTGTGATCGGCATTATACTGTGTGCTTAGTCTTACGCCCTTAATCTTACGCCCATAATTGTGTTAATCCGCCCTTAATTTCTATTGCAAGCTCAGTCAAGAACAGTCTCTAAATAGTATAGACCGAGTAGACAGTATTAGTGTTTCTAATATTATATATTATTTGATAGGACCAGCAATAGACTTACAAGATCAGGCTACTCACCACCTAGATATGTCTGCACATGTTGTCAGAAGTGAAATTCCTAGAGACTCTCCAGTTCTCAGAGTGCTGTTTCATACAGGAACAGATCCAGGGGGTAGACGACAAATTCTTCTAGCTAGACATCACCAAAGAGTTTGCATCGGTACATATATTATTATTTTTTTTAATGACCTCCTCTAACAGTCTTATTTATCAGTTCTGCATGCCACCATGGGTACAAAACCACCTCTTCACGCTGCTTGCAGCCCTAACGGAGAAGATGGCGTATGTTTAGCTCAAGTCACTATCCCTTCATCATGGTGGCCTCCTTTACCATTGCCTGAGAAAGATGGAAGACCAGGAAAACTTACAAAAACACCGCCTAAATTGGTTCAGGTAAGGAAAATAATATTACTTTTTTAATACACCGTCTAAAATAAATTGACACTTATGGATTTTGTTGTTAATTTCTTGGATTTTTTTCTTCTGCAAGTCTCTGCATCTCCAGAAACTGATAATAAACTATTCAAAATATCAATATACAGGGTCCGGCAATAGGGCGTCGGGCATCTGTAGCTCCTAGAATAAAAAACTTGGAAGTTTTGTTTAAGTGCAAATCTAAAGTATGTACGAGGATGTATTGTATTTCAGGAAAATATTTTAACTTCAATTCAATTCAATTCAATTCAAAATGTCTTTATTGGGTATATAAACAATTGTATACAAATTAAAATAATGACGATGGCGACGTTCACATTTGTGCTCTTCCACGCAACCATCCAAAAAAAATATGTAAGAAAAGAGTAGTAAAATGAATAATTAAGTTATTACAGAAATATGATTAAAGACCTACATTATTCAATAATTAATTACAAAATATATATATAAAAAATTCACAGATTTTGCAACATGCGCAACCATCATAGGCGTATTGAAAATACCAGACACAAATGTCGGCGGTGGTCAGCAATCACCTGTTTTTTACATTTTATATTAACTTGTGACGTCATTTGGAAGAGCTCAATAGAAATATAAAAGAACTAAAGCTTGTTTGGAAAGCAATTTGACATTCGTGAAGTCAGCACTCCGGCAACGTATCGCTAATTGCCATTCGCAAATATATTCCAGATACGTATAGCGATATTGTATTTTGATATTTGATTTTTATCGTGATGGCATTTTATAAAAGTGAAGAATTTAGTAAGAAAAATATTAATGATGGAGATGAACGTGTACGGATTCATGAATGGTCACGATCACGGTCACGACACTATAGAAATGTGAGGTATGTATTTTATGTCTATATATACATAGAATTAATGGAATTAATTTGCAATAGCACCTCGAACCCACAATTTCATTATGGAGCCAGATAAAACCAATCAGAATGAGGATTATGTTACCGTAAAGCCCGAATATTGGTTAAACGTAGGGTTACCACGTAGGAGCCTCGAAATATGCAAAAAGGTCACTTTAGGTTAAGTTTAGATTAGGCCTATATTTTTATTAATGCAAAACCAACTAAAACCTAATTCTAATCTAACCTAAACTCACTCCCTCTTTTGCATATTTCGGGCTATTACTGGGTATTTCTAGGTTTAACCAATATTCAAATCTTTGACGGTGTAAATTTATGGACGGTCCATAAATTTAAATTCGCCGTACAAAAAATAAGTAATAGTTACTGTAGATAAAAATAAATTAAAATATAGTTCCACGATAACTTAGTTTGCAGCTTCTTTTCATCATACCTAGTAAAAACCCGTCGCAACCACTACCCATAGTATGTATACCTATGTATTTTTAAACATCATTATGAGATTTAAGTTATAGGTGCCCATAATATGAGTAGCGGTATTGACGGTTTTTTGTTATGATGAAAATGTTGTGTGATATGAAAAAGCAACAAAATATATTATCGATTGCAGCAACTATACCTAGTTTATATTCAGTATGTCCAATTAATATAGAACATTATAGCTATGCATGATTTTAAAAATTTGCTACAATTATATTTTGATAGTTGAGTTTTTGAAATTATTTGTTAGTTTCTTAAACAAAACAGACCCATAATAATTCAAATCTTTATCATCCATGACTTCCAAGAATTATAAAGTAAACTCACGTCAAAAATTTTTAAAATTATTGCGTGCCTTAAATGTTTGCAAACAACAAAAATATTTCTTTGATTACCTGCAATTAATATATTTGGTCCAATTTATCAGTTCTGCATCATATCCGAAATTTAGATTGTGTGTGACACAACGAAGAGTCAACGTGCAACGTGAACGACGAGAAAATGGCAAGTAAAAAAAATTGTAAAGTCTTAATTACTAATTACACAGTCGTTCTCTTGAGTTCTCCTGCCTAAAATCTATATTGCCTTCCCTAAGATTTTAAATATAAATGATTGACACTCATACAAGTTTACCACAATTTAAACTTAAGATAATTATTTAATTATTAAATCCATAATTATATTAAAATATAACACTTACGAAGTTACTAAATATATTAACTATTTCTACTTAATCATTTGATAATTCTGATAAAAACACGCTTGATTATTTATTTTAGAAATCATACGGGCTATAATCATTAATATGACTATATTAACAATACTTTAATCAAAATTTATTTGAAGGAATGCTACTGTATTACAATAATAATTGTAAAACAAGTGTGTAATAATAACTCGGAATAATTATTAAAAACTGCTCATCTTGTTATAGATGTCGGAGTCTTGTCTCTATTATTTTATTAGCCGTTTAGCTATAGTTTGATTTCAGATAATGCAGATTTTAATGTGCCATTTGTGTTTTTTTATTGGAATTATTATTTTTAGCATATTTGGTATACTCTATGAAGTTATTTTTAGTGCTCCTGTCCATTTTTCAATTATTAAAGTGCCTTTAGATACAATTAAAATTAATTAATTGGTGTATAGTATTTGTATTATGGGTTTGTTTATTTTTTATGAAATGATTTTTTTTCCTATTAAAATAAACATAGCTTACTAAATCACTAGCTAGCCATTTTTAAATACAGGATGTTAATTAAGTATCTGGCCAAACTTCAGGAGGTGATTCTTTGAGTGTTTTAAGGTAAAAGTTCATATAAACATGTGTCCGGAAATGTATTATTTTAAAGATACAGGGGTGTCAAGGTGTTTTCTAATAGACCTTTTTTATTAATATCTCAAAGATCCGTTAGCCGATTTTGTTGAAATTTCGCCGTGTTGTCAAATTTAATAAGTTAGCACTAATTAAATGATAATTATTATTTACAACAATATTTAAACGATAAAAACTTATCCCAATAAATATTTGGCACCGCCTTGAATTCATTTGTTTTACGTTGGCGGTGGAAACCATGCAAGCTTTTTCTTTGTCCTAAGTTGTTATATAAAAAAATAATTAACATATAAAAAATATAGGTCCTAATAGCCTAAATTTTATCAAAATATATCAGCAGATCCGATGAGACCCGAATTATTATATGTTTTGGAACTTAATGATTTAATTAATTATTCCCTTTAATGCATCGATTGTGCGCATTATCCTACGCGCCAAGAAAAAATATTGCATTAGTTTAAATTTATTATTTATGTTATTCCGCTCTTTCACGTATAATTTGCCCCCTGCTTCTCATACGGAAAGAGTTAGATTAAAATAGCCCAACTGTACTTAACAACCCATGCCTTGACGCATATTCTTTTTTTAAAATATCGGCTTTCAGAGACTAAACATCCATATCCATAAAATAGTTGGCCCACACTAATAAGACCTCATTTCGGCCCTTGGACGGCCTTGCTCTATTCAGTTATCGACTTACGTGTTGACAAGTTGATTAGGCAGGTTAATGAACTCCATGTCGCCTCTAGCATGTCGTTTTTTCAAAGATGGGTCCCATATAAACGCGGCCAGAAGTATTTTCAATACTAAAAATAAGGTAATATGAAAGAAGTGAGAAAAAAATTGAACATAAGTTTAAATATTAGTCTTTCAACACACGCTGTTCACTCTCTTTTTAAAAGACTGAATGCCAGAAGGGTGTCCGATATCGTTGGAAATATCATTGTAAACTCGGACCGCATTATATGAAAATGAACGCTGGAACAAATCTGAGACATGCCTAGGAACACTGTACAACGCGCCTGATCTAGTAGGATAGTTATGCGTTTCGTTTCGCTTAGACAATTTCTCAAATAGTTAAATTGGTGTTTGGGATTCATTAATTCTAAAAACCATACAGGCCATATGCACAATAAATCTATCGTCCAAATTAAGCCAGTGAGACTCACTAAAGCAGTCCGATATGTGATCAAATTTCCGTAGGTTATAAGAGTATTTAGAGTATCTTACACAAGCGTTCTGTAATTTTTGTAATGAATGTCGATCAACTAGACGCAGAGCAGGCCAATAAACTACGTCACAATATGAAATAATTGAAAGAATTAGAGAGTCGCATAAACGGAGTTTAATTAGTGTGCTAAGAATGTCTCTGTATTTATAAAGTAATTTAAATTTCATATATGCATTTTTTAATATATGTTTAACATGTGTTGAAAATCTTAAGTCAGTATCGAAATATAACCCCAAATTGCGGCAGCTGTTCGTAAAATTAAGGATACGGTTGTTCAAAACAAGAGAGAACTGATTATTAGTTTGAAGTAAATAGTTGTTTTACCGAACAGCAAGACTTCAGTTTTAGACTCGTTCAGAGTGAGATAATGGGCTTTAAACTTCGATAGGATGTGTGAGTGGATGGTGATGATTTTTTTTAAATGGAACGCCCTGTATATTATTGCATTTTAGCCTCCTTTCAGATCACTTTACATAATCCTAAGATATGAGTAAATATTTTTCGATAGTTTCAGAGATGTTAAAAAAAAATATATTTTTCAACCTTCATTAACAACATTATTATAAATACAAAATCTGTCCTGAAATCAAAACTATATTAAGTATTTACTTTAGATGATCTATTCTTACTTTGCTATAAATATCGTAATCTTAAATCATACAGGTCATTATACAGGATGTACAAAATTCTACGCCAAACTTTCTAAAATATAAAATAATTTTTCTTTGTTTTTTTTAATGGAAGGTATATTATTTTTTTATTACATGGAGAATTAAAAAATGAACATTTTTTGTATTTAAAGTATTTCAAAATTGTTAATAATTTCGCAGATACACGCAGTATTATTTCGTATGGCTCTCTCAACGGTAAAATACGAGAGAAAAATTATTGGGTGGCTTTGATAAACATTTACTGCGAAAAATGCCATGTGAAATAAATCAATATCTGCGAAACCATTAAACATTTTGAAATACTCTAAATACAAAAAAAAAACAAAAAAATTTGAACATCCTGTATGATTTACGATTGCCATATTTATAGCAAAGTAAGTACAGACCTTCTAAACTAAAAATCTAATACAGTTTCGATTTCAAGACAATTCTTGTATTTTTAATATTTTTTTTAAAAGGCTGAAAGGTATATAGTTTTTATTAGCGATGGGAACTATCGAATGAATTAGACTATCGAATGGTTAATGAATGAATGATTTCAACTATCGAATGGTTTTATTCGAATAAAATCATTCATTCATTTGTATACAAAAGCATATGTGACAACCTCGCCGTGCGACTAAATGGTTATCGTTGAGCCACGACTATCGAATGCTTTTGATAAATGAAATTTAGTATTCGTTTGATTTTTGTATGCGTCAGTGCATTATTGGTTCTTCCAAATTTTTATAACTTCGCCGTATAAATACTGTGCTATTTTTGCGTTTATTAAAATAGTTAAAATACTAAAATAGTAGTTATTTTTTAATTTTATTTATTGACGATTGTGTGCATGTGCAGGTGGTCAAAATTTTTCCGAAAATTTGTGTGGTTTTCCGTAGTCCGATCTTTCAATTATTTAATTTTATATGGTATACCTATGGTCTATTTTTTAATGGGAAATTTTGGGAAGTAGCAATTTTTAAGAGAGATGAGATGAACTTACAATTAATTTTAAAAATACATATTTGTATTTTAGATGTTTTAATAATATGAATTAGCTGAACTTAATAATCATATTTAAGTAATGTGGTTAAGTAAATGGGGTAATCGAACTCAAACTATGGGGTGAGAAAATTAAAATGAAAGTTTTACAGGTGCCAATTTTAAAAAAAAGTTAACGATTTTGTATTTTGTTTATGCTAATTCTCTTACATGTAGTTTTTTGCGAAGAAATATTTCATTTATTTTTTAAAGTAAATGCCAGTAAAAGTAAATATAATTTTTAAATAGAAATATGAAGCACCTAATATAAATAATTTTGATTTCTAATTTTTTATTTATATTTTCGTTCCATTACACTGCATGATTAGAAAATTAATAAATGTTTATATTTCATGATTTTAAAATTTGTTGTTAATATAACAAATTAGTTCTGTAATTATTATTATTCAATAAACCAACGTTGCCAAAAAATTTAGAGACTATATTATTTTTAAATAGGATCTAATATAAATAATTTTGACATCTAATTTGTTGTTTATATTTTGCTAATACTTAAAAAAAATATTTATATTAAATCATTTTAAATTTTGTTGTTAATAGGTATAACAAATTATTACTGTTATTATTATTTATTAAACCAGTCTTTGCTTAAAAACATTAAAAATCATTTTCTTACATCCAAAATAACAAGTATTATTGCAGTGTAACAACAGGATATTAATAAAAAAAAATTCAGAATATATAGACATACTATCCCTAACTAACTAAAGCCAAACAATAATATTCTTTGCTAATATCAACTAATACCAAAATATGGCAACAGCGCCCTTCATAATGTATTTTCTGTGTAAATACTAGCACCTCAATAAAAAAAATAATGTGTCGTTATCTATATCTGACTCCGCAAAAAATCAAAGATGCCGGCTTCTTTCATAGCATTGCCACCGACCGCTGTCGGGTTTGGAAACCTACGTCGCCGGGCGACAACTAAAATTCAGTTAATATTTTATTATAATCGATCCTGACGAATGAATGAATTTCATAAATGAATGAATTTTATAAATGAATGGTTTTTGCTGCCGAATTACTAGAATACAATATTTCAAGACAGATGACGGATCTATTCGATAATTTTTATTCGAATAGTTTTCAACGAATGTTTTCTTACTAACCATCGAATTATTCGAATGAATTACCACTATCGAATGTTTCGATAGTATTCATTCGATAGTTCCCACTACTAGTTTTTATTTATTTATAAATATCTGTGAAACTATCGAAATATATTTATTCATATCTTAGGATTATGTAAGTGATCTGAAAGGAGCCAAAAATTCAATAATATACAGGGTGTTCCATTTAAAAGTACTCCGATCCACTCACACTTTTTTGAGCCACTATAGAAGTTAAAATATTCTCATGAAACATATCCTAGAGCATACTTCAGGTTTGCACTTAAACAAAAATCCCAAGTTTTTTTTATTCTAGGGGCTACATATGCCGCATTTACTATTGCCGGACCCTGTGTTATTTTTTGTGAAGGAAGCTCCGCTGTAAAAATGTGAAATTTGTTCAAGAGTAATTGGTATAATTTTTCAAAATGTGTAATTTATTCGAATTGTTGTATTATGCTGGGTCCTAACCAAGGCGACAGAAAATGAACACGATTTTGAGACAAAAACAAGACCAACCTGCTGCAAAAATGAAAAATTCAGACAAGACAAATTAGAGACGAAATGTTGCGAATCAGTTTTATTAATCATGTGGTCTTCTACCTAGAAAGAAGATAAAGATATATTACTAGCAACCAGTACTGTTGTCTTTGACTCGCCAACCCATATTGCAAAAAAAAACCGAAATGTTTTTGTTTTTATTTCTTCTCGTATACTATATAGTTATTAATGTTTCTTATTTTTTTCTTAACATTATCAACCGAGTATATATTTAATGCCAAACAAGTCTCCTCTAATCCACCAGCTTTCTTGTAACAATTTTTGTAATCCTTGTTTTTACCCTCCCATAATAACAAATGCGCTCTATAAAGCTCTATTAGTTTGCAGGCATTTTCCGTATTCCACTTTCTATCTTCTGACATTTTTTTTAAAGATGGAGCACTCCATCATATACTAATGTCGTATATTAGCAGTACCAGCACTCCACAGTACTAAATTTGTGTGATTCTATTAGTTTCCTACTTTGACATCCACACTGCACCGACAACTTGTCGTAAAATACACGACAAAACAGAGACTCTTTGAACTTTACCGAGTCGAGACGGGACATTCAAAACTTGGACTTGTTGCAACTTTGTCGTAAAACATCAATCTTTCTGTCTTGTCGCTGTTTTGTCTGCTTGGTCTGGACACGGCTTTATATTCATCTAATTCTTCTATCAGACTTCTTTAAATAACGTTTTGGCGTATTTTGAAAGATTAAACCGGTTTAGGTGGTGGGAATTTTACATTTAATTTTACATTGTTGAAGGTCTCCAAAGTTTTACTAAAAGTCAATTGGATCTATTTCCAATTTTTATGATACCGACAAAGTCAGTCCTGAAACTAGGAGCCCCAAACTAGTCTACTTAATTGACTTTAAAAAATCAATACTAGTGAAATTTTGACTAGTTTATTAGCAGTTTTCTGGCAACTGGAGAATTTTAAGAATATTAATATCTGGGAAAATTTAAATAATTTTTTTCCTATATACGTTCAATTGTTTTTAACATACTATACAGGGTGAAACTTAAATAAGTGCAAATATTTTTAGGGTTGGTAGATCTCGATAGAAGAAATATATTTTCTCTTTACCGTTTTTCAATTATAAACTTGTGTATAGTTGCTAATAATAAATTACAATTATTAGGTAATCTTAAAGATAAAACACCTCCACTGGAAAAGTCGGGTATTTATGAAATTTCATGTATAGATTGTAATCAGAAATATGTTGGGCAAACTAGAAGATCAATATTAACTAGATTTAAAGAACATATACCTCAGATAATATATGGTAGACCGGCTCAATCTTGCGTTGCTGAACATATTGTTGGTAAAGAACATTGTATAGATATTAATAATAATTTAAAATTAATTAAACAAATCTCAAATTACAGGCATAATTGCCTAATTAATCTAATGATTCATATGAGAGCGTCAAAAGTCAAAATTAATAAATGTAAAGATAGTATGAACAGAAACAATGGCCTAATTCTTTCCAGTTCTCTGTTCCTATTGCCCTAGTTTCGGTAATTAACTGACGCTCAGTTGGTTAGTTTTACTTGTTGATTAGTTTTTGAACACGCCTACTCGGAGCCAACTGAGCAAGTATATAAACGCTCAATTTTTAGATATTAGTTTAGTTTTAATCATCTGCCGATGATGCTAACATGGTTAGCGAAACGCGCATCCAGTGTATAAGTGAAAGTGTTTTGGCCTATTGTGGTGATGTAGTGTTTTATAATAAAGAAATTATGTTTTTTAACAAAAGACTGAAAAAAAATTTTTTTTCGCGAAAAAAACCTCATAATCGTGTTTTCTGGAGGTCGAAATACACTACCCCTAAAAATATTTTCACTTATTTAAGACTCACCCTGTATACTAATGAATAAAATTACAGGTGGCTTATTCTGTGCTGGAACCATGGCCGGATGAAGGTGAAGGCTGTCATCCAAAAATGCAAGTACAACCATCGGTTATATTGGGCACCGTAACGCTGGTTCCTGCAAAGGGGGCGTATAAGGAAGTGAGACTTACTGACGCATTATCGATGTTAGTGCCGTATCCGCCATTGTTTCCAATGTCGAAGCTACACGTTCCTGTTTTTATCGACAGACTGAAAGCTAAGTCTTTAACTGCAATCGTCATAAGGTAAGTGTGTTTAGGTTTCAAATGTTATTAAATTAGGAAGGTTTTCAGCCTTACCCTGTAGTATTAATAAAAACTTTCTTGATATTAATTTGCATTATACTATATCTTTGATACTATCATAAACTATAAGCAAAAGCAAATCTGGCTGATTTCCGAAATTGGCAAATGAGTCTGGCGGCCTGGAAAATTGCAAAAATTAGAGAATTTTTGCTCTTATTTTACCGGATTTGAAAATTTGTGACATGATAAATAATACTATAATTTTATAGAAAATACACGTTTGGCTGTCATTTACAATCACGAAAGCCTCGCCAGACTCACAAGACAGGTAGTTAAATGAGTAGAGGAAGCGGCACGTGCGTAATTATGTAATGACGATCGTATCTTTAGATGCGGAAATTTTTGATACTCTGTAATTTCGTGATGTTCAATACAGCAAAATCGAGAAACACACTACTCTTTATTTCAAAAATCTTTGTAGATCCAAACACATTCATATGATGAGAAGTTTAGGACAAGTCGCCTTGACCGGATTGTTTTGTAACTCAAAACCTAGGAGAGATACAAAATAAATCAAAGATCGATTTTGTAGAGAATTAAAGTTCCTATAGTAAACGCCACGAATGTTTGGGAGTGATTTATCGCTTGATGAAGTTAGAATCGACACGCGCGCTATCATTTTTACATTAAAAACGTAAAGTTTTGCCGCAGACGTAGGTTTTTAAAGGCCCGGTCTAATTATCTGCCTGCGCTCCTCTTACTTATTCTAAAATGTTAGTGTGATTGACAAAGACGATACTATATCGCGTTTCTTTGATTGATTCGTTTTTGTGCGTCAGTCCATTGGTGCGCTTGCAGTGCGACCAATGGGGCATTCCATTTTACATTTATAACCAAATATATGTTTTGACAAGACTTTGACAGTTAAAACAACAAATTAGAACAGATCATATATTGATTATTATATGATTTGAAACACCACGGCACTGGAATTCAGTTTCATGTGACCTTGAACAGATTAGTTCACATGGTAGCAACCGATGAATCACTCCCAAACATTCGTGGCGTTTACTATACAATAAATCTGATTTTCCTACAATAAATTTGAGTTTTAATATCTCTTATAGTTTAAAGTTATTGGCGAATGAAGTTTTTTTGATGAGGGACGGATGGACTGACATTTTGCTAAAACCATGTTTTTTAGACTCCTGGGGTCTCAAAGCCGTAAAAATGTGTTTTTAGTCATAGTCAAATTTCGTCCTAAACTAATACTATTCTTATTATAAATTATATTCCTCTTCTTCTTCCTTCTTCATACTAGGCGAATCGCCTGTTTGGTTTCGTCGTCTCTACCGGTTAGACTGACAAGTTGTCGCTCCATCGTTTTCGTGGACGTCCTAAGCTTCTGCGACCTAGCGGTGATTTGTCGCGTGCAACTCTCACTATCCTTCTGTTGTCCATTCTGCTGATATGGTCGTTCCATTCTTCCTTTCTGCTGAGTACCCACTCATTTACATTTTCCACCTTGCACGCTCTTCTTATGCTTTCATTTCTCTCCCTGTCCAGAAGCGTCTTTCCAGCTATTCTGCGTAGTACTCTCATTTCGGTTGTTTCTAGTAGTTGTTTAACTAAACAACTTTGTTTTCGCTGTATCAGGTCGAGTTTCTGCAGTGTATGTCATTATTGGTCGTACCGTTGCCTTGTAAATTCTCGCTTTAGTCTCCACCTCAATGTTTTTATTTCGCCATATTGTATCATTCAGGCATTCTGCTATTCTGGTTGCCTTCGTTGTCCGTTCTCGCACCTCCGCTTCTACATCACCATATCCTGAGATTTCTATGCCTAGATACTTAAACTTCATCTCTTGCTGAATAACATTGCCCTCGACTTCCAGTTTGCATCTTAGTGGTACTTTTGATGTCGTCATGCATTTAGTTTTCTGGGTCGATATTATCATATTAAGTGATTTGGCAGTGCAATTAAATCAATGTAATAAGCGCTGTAGATCGTTCTCATTTTCAGCTACCAATACGGCGTCGTCGGCATAGCATAGAATAGTAATTTCCTGATCGCCCATACTGTATCCCTTTAGTAAGTACATTTCCTATTATTTCATCATTATAAATTATAGAATGTAAAAACATATAGAGATGAAACTATCACGTGTATAATTGAACATGCCGAATTTAGCACGCCTGACGAGCGTTGGACGAGTCTGGCAAGGCTTTCGGGATGTTTCACATTAGCCAGACTATACTTACAGCTGTAATTGTAATATTATATTATAATTATAGGTGCAAGATAAAAACTATCAACTGACAATTTTTTAGGTTTCAATATTTTTGTCCAATTTTTTACCTGCCGGACATATTACCCATTCTCACAGATTATCGAGACTATATTTTTTCTCAACTGCACATATTTTTATCTCTGGAAAAATATGCTGTATATTTGTACTTTTTAACGCATTTTCCGCCCCAACCCATCGGAAAACGTCTCTCTACATACAGTATGTAAAATGGAAAATGGATTCTTCATAAATTTTTTTGCTTGTTCTAAAATGGTTAACCCCTTTTATACTTTTCCAAATTTTCATACCGTTTTAGAGAACATTAAGAAAAACATAAAAATATGGTTGAAGTCCTAAAATTCAAAACGCGTTTCTATAGTAATATAACTCGTTTTCATTCTTTGATAGATTTTTAAGCTTGATTTTCATGCGGCCGTTATCCGTTAATACGATGGTCCGACGGCCGCGGCGCTCTGATTGGTCATAGCGTTTTCGCGCCACTTTTCATCTGTAAATTTTTTACTACAGCCCGTCAATGGAGAAAGATCGTACGATGACGGACGTTTTGACACTTTTTTGACAAATTTAATCTAACCTTGATAAAAATATAATAGTACAAGAGCTAGCAACGTGAGGAAAACGATAATTTTAAGAAAGCTGGTTCTTTAATATATCTTTTACCGTGCTCTCCCGTGCTCTTCTGTTAAAAATGCGGACCGTCTGGCTGCCGGTAGACTACTGTGGTTCACTACTGCGCATCACATCTGTACAGGGTTTTTCGTGTGTTTTATCGGATTTCTCGTTTATGAGTAGGGATACAACGATGCGATCTCCACGTTACTTTGCTACTCTTTTATGAAACTAAATATGCTACACATAGGTTTGTCCTAGCCTCCTTATTAGTTCCTCGAATACAGGGCGAATTTGTGATGCGTAATAGCGAACAGATGTTGAATACAGATATGGGGGGATGCACATGTTGGGCATAGCAGCCAGACTGTTCAGAAAATTCAGAAAATCAAGCTTTATTCATAGAATTTTAATTAACGTAATATTTCTTGTTGTTTTAAAATGTTAAAGAAGTACAAAATTTATTTAGTCCAATGATGCGGAAAGGGTGATGATAGTTATCGGAAAATTTGATACTTTAACAACTGCAAAATATATGACGTTGATCAAAATTAATAATGAGCATCTATCAAAAAATGAAATCGAATTGATTTTACCATAGAAACGCCTTGTGATTTTTAGGATTTCAACCATATTTTGCATATTTTTCTTAATTTTCTCTTAAACTGTATGGAAATTTGGAAAAATATAAACGGATTATCTATTTTAGAACAAGCAAAAATGTTTATGAAGTATGAATTTTTCTCAAAATGTCAATAATAAAAAAGTTTCTCCTCTTGTAAATACAATCCGAGGACATACTGTATATACGAAATTTGCTTAGAATAACATACTGAATAATTCTATCGGTATTTGCTGACTGGGAAAATAAGTACCAAAAATCTTCACTGCCTCCTGGACTAGTATGAGAGGCGCCAACCTGTATAACTGAATATTTTAAACTCCCTAAAAAAATTAAATTGATAATATAGAGAATATCATTAATACAATAGAACATGTTTTTAATTTTTAACTGCTTATTTCAAGACAATTTATCTAATCTTATTACTCGCAAAATTATCATCTATTGTTGAACTATTTGTTTTCTGATTTCCAAAGGCACTGGTTTTGTTTAGACCAGACACGAATGGGGAGTTACCGATTCTAATTCCACGGCGTTCGAATAAATTAGACCTTTGTGCAGGTCTGTTGTAACTGAGAGTCGCTGTAGACGTATTAATTATAAGCGATGTACAGGCTGCATGTTTCGAACTAATTTTACGTTTGCTCAGAGAAGTGTAGTACCTGAAAAGGAGGCTTCCATTCTGTTTCGGAGAATCACGATAACTGTTTTTGAAGCTTAATATAATAATTAAGCTGCACATTAATTTGTATTATACCATACTGCAATATAGCAAGAAGATATTTTACAATCACTTAGTCTGTAAAATGGTACTCAAGGTATTCCTTGTATAGCCTACGATATTTTACTTTATAATTATACAGGGTTCGGCAATAGTGCGTCGGGCATCTGTAACTGCTAGAATAAAAACATGGGAATTTTGTTTAAATGTACTAGGATATATTTCAGGAAAGTATTTTAACTTCTATAGGGTGGCTCAAAAAAGTATGAGTGGAATACTCAACACAAAACCACAACAACTATGTTTGTAATAAGTTCATATTTCATTTCGTATACAGGGTGGTCCGAACTGTATTCCGGAAACTTCGGCAGCATATTCTGCAGATAAGTAAAAAAGTTCGTATAAATATAGGTGCTAAAATGCTTACTTTCAGAGATACAGGGTGTAGAAGTTTCATTTTTATTTCAATTTTTTCTAAATAATTTCTGAAGTAACGTCAATATTTGGATGAAAATTGGTGTCTGGAAGTTTTTTAACATGAGAAATTTGATTTTGATGTCAATATGACTCCTACTAGTAGAGGGCGCCACATACATGTGTTTTAACTGTATTGAAGCGTAATAAATTTTTGTCCGTACCTGTATAAAACTACCGAGCGATTTTTACCAAGAGACCTTTTTCCCGTAAAAAAACGTCGTAATTGTATATTTTTTACTCAGTAGTTTTATACAGGTACA